GCACTTGTGTGCTCACCTCACTGCCGAGCAAGGCCCTCTGTCATGGGACCCGTCCCTCTGCGCCTCACCTACTGTGGAAGCTTCCGGTTGGCCTCCCCACCTGCTGTTTCTGAGTGTGCCCCGTGAATGCACTCTTCTGTCCCTTTGTACATGTTTTTCTAGAATGCTCTTCTTACCAGGCCGAGACTTAATTTTCCCTTCACGACTTACCTCAGCAGGCATCACTCCTCTGAGAAATGTTGTGATTTCCACCCCACCTCTTGGCAGCAAATTAGTCACTTTTCAGTCCCACTCTGTATATGTTTTTGTTGTTAAACATTCACAGTGTTGTAATTGTTTATATTTTTTTACCCTTCTATATTTATCTTCTGGAAGATAGGACCACATTTCATTTCTGTAACTTCAGTACTCTGTAGGTTTAGTGTATAAAAATTGCTCTATAAAGACCAGCTTAGTGGCCTATAATCCTGGCTACTTGAGAGGCAGATATCAGGAGGATCAAGGTTTGAGGCCAGCCTGGGCACAAAGATCACGAGACCCCATCTCAACTAATGAATGGCTGGACTTGTTGGAATATACCTGATATCCCAGCTGCAAAAGGAAGCACAAATATGAGGATCACAGTCCACAGCATCCTAGGCATAAAGTGAGCCCCTGTCCCCAAAATAAGCCAGTGCAAAAGGGAAAGGGGCTGGTGGAGTGGCTCAAGCGGTAGAGAGCCTGCCTAGCAAGTGTGAAGCCCTCACCAAAAAAATGACTGAATGACAGTTTTACATCTAAGCCTGGCCCAGGCGTAGGGAGGGCAAAGGAAAGGATGCTGGGCGGGGTGAACCTGGTCAGCACATGCATAAATCTCAGCATGTGAAAATGCATGGAGACCCACTGAGTCTGGTCACAGGGCAACGGGCTTGCCCCCAGCAGAGCGGTGACTCTGCTCAAAGTACACTGTACAATTAATTTACACGGATAAGAAGATAAACCCAATGGATAACTACTGAGTCTCCTTATGGTAGCAAGTCTGTACATAATAAAAGACTGTAAATTGTAAGATGTATAATGTCTTCTGTTCTCTAAAGCTGAACCCATAGCTGGTGCATCTCTTTCTTGGCAAACTAGAATAAGGCCCAAGCCGCACGGTAAGAGGCCAAGTGGGACTCGGTGTCCAGATCTTTGTATCACTGGCCCTGACCCCAGATTCCAGAGCAGACCTTACCAGCTCACTGAGGGATCTGTGCTTGGTGTCACCCATGTGGCCACTAGACTTATCTTCACACTTCTCCCCTGCCCTTTTGCTCACACAGACCTTTCTCTGCCTGTCCGCTTGCTCTAGTCCAGCCTGCTGTTTCAGACCCAACCTGATTCTGGCCTCTTCTGACCATCTCAGTGAAGATCACCGACACCCACTTCTGAGCTCCTGTAGCTGGTGTAGTACACGAAGCCCTCCCCCGACACCCATGTCCAGGAGCTGAGTGTGGCCACGGGTCACTCAGGCTCAGTCGAAGCTGCACACCCCATACTCAGTGCCTGCAAGCAGGTGAGCCACTCCCGGGCTCTGTTGCCACATCTGCAATTAGCAGTGGCCGCAGTCGCACTTGGCAGGGGTGAGCTGGAGCCTTCTCCAGCTCCACTGTGCCTCTTCCTCTCCCGTGACGCCTTTCGCTGCGCTGGGGGTTGCGTGTTCTGTGGGGGCGCATCCTGGCCACGGGCCGCCCCTAGCACGGGAGATGCTTTGCGAGTGATACTGTCTCACAGCTTTGTTCCTTGGCACGTGGTGGCGCTTTGCCATCTGGAGTCTGTTCGTTTGTATAGGGGACATTGCTTTGACAAAGTTGTTCCCCAGGTCTTTTCCTCTTACTTCACAGCTACGGCCAGCCTTGAGTGTCAGTGTTTGTACAGCTTGAAGTCTCGGCTAATTAAGGAAACGGGCTAGCAAAAACCCGCAGGCCGTGTGCACACAGTCCCTGGCTCGACCCCAGCCACAGGCTCGCCCGTCTGTGGAAGCCCCGTGTCCCTCACTAATGGCTGGACAGATCGTCCGTCCTTGGTGGAAGACGCAGATGACTGCTGTTTAGATAATATCCATCTCGCAAACGAGAAGCCAGGAAAACGTGGTGTATTTATTACAGCAGGAACAAAGGTCGTGGATAGTAACCTTAGAAAAGAACCCGTGGCCACCTAGCTTTTAAAGACCAGCGCTTGCTGATTTTATTTCTAGAAACCTGGAGAACAAACCCCTCATTCTCTCTGACTTACGAGGAAGCTGGAATGTGGAAACTTTGATCTTTAAGGGGTGTGGCTTTTGTTTTATGGAACTGTCTATTTTAAAGTTTAAACATCTCAGTTCCCATGATGCTCTTGGTTAAGAGGAAGTTCTTGAATACCATGTAGCTATTAAAAATGGTAATTTAGACCTATAGTTCCAAAAGACTTAGTTTTAAGTGGGAAAAAACAGGAAGATGGTTTCTGTGTATTAGAAAAAAAGATACATGCTTGCATGTTAATAGGGATACTTAAAAAATGCAATTTCAGGTAAAAAAGCTTTGTTTCCCCATCTACCCTCTTCATTGTCTGGATTTCTGAGTGACTGTATTACCTTACAGTCAAAATAATTTTAAAACCATTTTGGTTTTGGAGGAAACAAAGTAGTAGAAAAATATTTGAGCATGGTATGGAGAAAAATCTAGTCTTTCTCCGTCTTCCTCAGGGAAATTACCCCAAGCAACCAGAAGGAAAAGAAACATAAAAATTCCATCTTTGAAGAAATTAGGAGATGTCTGAACCACCAAGCCCAGAAAACAAGTAGTTTTTGAAAGATTGAAGCAGGAGTAGGAGAGGAAGTACACAAGACACTTGGAGCTACAGATTTCAGAAAAAGAGAAGCAAGGACCAGAAAACAAAGAAAAGCCTGGCAAATAACATTTTTCCAGATACCCTGGAACTGAGACCTAAAGTCCTCCCTTTGAGACACACAAGCCGGTGGTCAGAGCTTCACTGGATCTACCTTCATTCCAAAATTCAGAGTTGGGATTGAGTGAAGACTTACCAGGCAGTCCCTGCAGGAAGAGGCCTGACCTGAGTAGCAGGAAGAGCAGGGGCTTCCCTCTGAACACCTTCCTACACCTTCCTGCACTCTCCTTGCCATGCATGCACCGTCCTGTCCAGAAACAGACAGACTAGCATGGCCCTGGCTCTGCTACCAAGGGAATCTTCCAAAAACAGCTGGTCCGTGGTCAAACATAAGAAAAATTATGGTGGAGAAAACATGAAAAAACAAGAGGACAAGAAAGAAGCTCTCACTAGATAGACATTGACCCTGAGCAAATGCAAGTTATAACCAAATATTTTACAGGCTAAAAAAAGTGTCAGTCTATGTCTTATCAAAAACCAGAGCCAGGTGCCAGTGGCTCACGCCTGTAATCTCAGCTACTCAGAGGCAGAGATCAGGAGGATTGCGGTTCAAAGCCAGCCTAGGGCAAATAGTTCACGAGACCGTATTTCGAAAAAAAAATCCATCACAGAAAAGGACTGGTGGACTGGCTCAAGGTGAAGGCCCTGAGTTCAAACCCCAGTACAAAAAAAAAAACAAAAAACCTAGAAATACAAAAGGGATAAGATGGCAAGCCAATAGGAAAAGGATCTGAGTTCAGGAAGCAAAGTGAAGAAAGAAAAGCCATTAAAGAAACAAAGGCACAATTTAGAGTAAGGAGATACTGTATGGAAAATAGGAAGTTAATGAGCAAAGTGAGGTAGAAGTATCTTAGAAGGATTAATGGCAGATATGGTGGAAAAACACAAAGTCCCTGAAGGAAACAGGTAACAGTAGACAAAACCAGAAATTTAAGTTACAAACCAAGAGACATTTCCAGTAGTATGAGAAAGCTTGAATCTACCCTGTGCCAGGAAAATGTCACATAAATTGCCAGTCCTGCCAAGTGCTGGTGGCTCACACCTGAAATCAGGAGGCAGAGATTAGGAGGATCAGAGTTCAAAGCCAGTCTGGGATAATAGTTTGAGAGACCCTATCTCAAAGAACCCTTCACAAAAAAAAGGGCTGGTGGCATGGCTCAAGTGATAGAGAGCCTGCCTAGCAAGCTTGAGAGGTTACTGACATGACAGTGACAAAAGACTTAACTAAGCGTGGCCTGGAGGTTTTATAAGTATACAAACTGCAGGCGAGCTTTTAAATGTAAGAAATTGAGAATGTTCTCACAAAACTTTCATCGAGGAATCGTCCCAGACAGGCATGAGTCCACCAAGGTTGCCGGAAAATGATAGCAAAAGAACTGTAGATGGGTGTGACTCCATCTGACGGGGTAAAAGCAGCACCCAGCTTCCACGCGAGTTTCCACAGCCAGGCCCTCAGGCTGACAGGTGAGCTATAGTGGAGAGAAGAAGCTGTACAGCATAGCGGACTCCCCTCTGCAACAGAGAATGGGGCAGGAATATTAAAACTATTTTAATTCTACCGTTTTCCATAGAGGGTTAAGCAGACAACGTCTAAAGAAATACAGGTTTATATTCTGATGACGGTAATCACTAGACAGAAGTAGACGCTAAATAGCAAAAATGGCTACAAGGGGTAGCAGAGTCATTTGTAGAGCAAGCAGTATTCTCAGAGCCATGTAAACTGGAGTTGGGGGTCACAGGCCATCAGGACATTGTCAGCCCCACTATTGTGGCTCCCTGGAGGCCAGCAGGAGCCCCTAGGGGTAAGGTCCTTAGCTTCTCTCCTTTGAAGAAATTAAAATCCCAAACTAGTAAATGGATGAATGAAATGAAAGAGAAAAGGCTAAGCTGTGTTTATTGTGAATGGTCCTGACAGAGATTTTGGTGAAGTTCTTTTGTGAAGAACTGTCACAGGAGCAGGGAGTCCTCCATTGGGATTTGGGAGCTCTTGGAATGTCAACAGGTCATCTTCCTGGTGTCCTGAGACTGGGTCTGTAACCAGTGTGTCTCATGGCTTTCTTGCTTCACCCTCTGAACAAGGCCTTATTTAATCCTTGGGTTTACGGAGGCAGTGTATACGTGTGACGACAGCCAGTAGCACACATGGGGGTTCTGATTGAAGTGACGTCTAGCAGTCACTAATGCCACCTTCCCAAATTACCAGCTTGATTATCTAAACCCGAAAACTCACCACCAAAACATGGGCCTAATGTGGCACCTTAGCCCCTTTATTGCTGACGAACTGGCTTGAAAACATTTACAGCACGAATGTCACCCTGCCAACATGAAAGCCACATAGCCTCACTGCCTTCCTTGAGGTCTGCCTCCTGTGACCCTGGTGGCTGTCCACACTCCTCTGCTTGTGTGAGTGCCACCTGACCTGCAGGGACTGCGCCCCCTTCCTTCCTCTTGGCTCTTCATTCGTGCCATTCAGACTCCAGCTCTCGCAGGACTTCGGAGCAGTGAATGGATGGTTTCTTACAGGCCCTCAAAGTGCCATGAGGAAACAATCGAGGAAAGTACCCCAGTAGTTGACCATGGCAGACTCATTGCAGGACAGAAGCACCCATGCCAGGCGGGCAGAGCCTCTTCCCTAGAGCCGAGTAGGCTCAGACCTTTGTGTGTCACTGTTCCTCCCCGCGTAGTACACCAGTGCTGGAGAGGGGCTCTGGGCACACACTTAGTTGTGGGCCCATGCTGGATCTCAGTAGACATCCTGGGAGTTCCTCCCCAGAAGCTGGCTTCCAGCTCAGGACACCCAGTGCTGAAGGAGATGGGGCCTGCGCTTTGTAGAAAGGGAGGGAGGTTTGGCAAAGCCAGTGGGGAGAGAGGCCCTGCCCACTGAATGAGATGCAGTGAGAGGGACCCAGAGGAACTCTCAGAAATCTCAAAATGCCCCACAGAGAAGTTGAAAGATCCAACAGGCCCGAGAATGACAGATCTACTTGTATCTTCCAGGAACCCCTCTGGCCTCTCTGGAGTCCTCCTTGCCTGGAAACGGGCAGCAGTGGAGGAGGGGAAGGAGGGAGCCCTGTCCTTCTCCAAAGGCCTCGGCCCTGGGACTGGCCCTGCAGGGAGAGATGTCTTTCTTCCAGGGACCCATCCTTCCTCCTCAAGGTGAACTTTTCAGAAGTGTGACATACAGTAATTGATACGTGATGCATACATGTGCAATTTAATGAACTTCCAAAAGATAACCATCACCCATGTCAAGAAATGGAACATGCAGGGCCCTGTAAGTCACCCTCGACTTTTCTCTCACTTCCCTCTCACCCCAAGAACAGATCTAGCCCTGCCTGATTTAAACCTAATCAAAATGAGCTGACGCGTTAGTTACGGAGTTGGGCTGTATTTGTGACAGTGCGCCTACCGGGCTGTGTGCTGTCTCTCCTCAAGTTCATCCCACCAGAACTTCTGAACACCATCATACTTGAAAACAGCCTCACAGGCGCAGGTTAGGATTAGAATGGGTCCATAGGAGAAGACCCGCCTTTTCAGGTGACCGCGGCAGAGATCTGAGTGGTGTGGTCACAAGTCAAGGACAAGCAAGGATTTTTGGCAGCCTCCCAATGCTAGGAGGGGCGCGTGAGATGGTATGTCTCTCAGCCTCCATAAGGAACCAACCTCCTTACCTTGATTTCAGATTCCAGCTCTCCTCGCCTGTGACAATAACTTTCTTTTGTTTTAAGCCACCCAGCTCATGATAATTTGTTGTAGCAACTCCAGGAAATGAATACAAAAAAACTCTTAGTTTGTGTTTTTAAAAAAAACCAGAAGCTGGGCATGGTGGTTACATTTGGGAGTTAGAGCTTGAGGTCAGCCTAGGCTACATACATAGCAAGTTCAAAGCCAGCCTGAGCTGCATAGAAAAAAAAAAAAAAAGCCCAGGGCTAGAGGTATAGCTCAGTGGTAGAGCATGTGCCTCCCTTGCCCTAAAAAAAAAAGATGAAGTACTAGCCCCATCAAACGGATTTAAAGTAGGAGCATGACTTAGAGCGTTTGGGGGTTTTTGTTTGTTACCATACAAAAGCTTTGTTTATTCAGTCTACCAGTTACAGTTACAGGTGCGAACCCTTGACTTAGTGGAATATTGAGTCTTGAGTACTTGCTCCTCCAATGGGCAGTGGGGGTGAACCCCTCTCCAGGTTTACTCATATACTGTCACTCACTACCAGGTGAGTCAAACGTCCCCAGGCTCCTTCGGCTCTGACATGGGGTGTCCCCAGTGATGCTCACTCATACCCACCGTGGGGCAGACGCTATGTAAGAGGTGTAAAAACAAAGCCACGTGTGCAGACTTCTGTCCTCGCCTGTTACTTGCGGCTTCTCAGAACACCTCTGGTAAGGGCTGGGGGCCCTCAGATTTGCCCTGCAGTGAGTGTCCTTGGGAATGACAGGGACTGTGTTTCCGTCTTTCTTCAGCCACCTGTTCATAGAAAGCTTGACATGTACCAGGTGAAAACAGCTACCTGCAGAGTGGCGGTGGTCTGCCCTTGTCTCACTTTCTGAGAACAATTATAACTTCATGTTTTAGATTTTCTTATACTGTTAAATCAGCAGGATGAAATCCAAGTTACAGTTTACCTTGATCTGTAAAGGTATTGTCCATATGCATTCAGAATTCATTATTAATCTTCTAAATATTTTTGCTTTTATTTGTTACTAGTCTTTCAAATTTTCCTACAAGTAATGTGGTAATTCCCCAACATTTTGATAGAAAATTGTGTCTTTTATTGAAGCAGAGAGCCTACTTCCTGGATTTGTGTATTACGCTTTCATTTTAGATTCAGTCATACGTGCTCAAAACCAGAGCCGTTTCCCCCTTAGTGTGCATTATAGTTTAACTGGAAAACGGTTTTTCTAAAGAAAATCAAGCACTTTGTATGACACTGAAAAAAAATACGGTAGAAAGTAGCAGTCCATCTGGGGAGCTGAAATGCCCAGAGTGGCAACAAATCAAAATCTAATCAAGCAGAACTTTGAGTGTTTAGCTGAGCTGAGTATATACTCAAGTGGAATAAAATTAAAGATTGCGTCATTTCCTTGGACACTTTTGAAAATGAGCTAGAATATCCGTTCCACTGGAATACTGTCACAGTGGAATTAGGAAAAGAACAAATGAATTGTAATGGAAGAGCCTGTGAGGAAAGCCAGCCAGTCTGCATTTTACTGTAATGACTGAGCTTGCTTTATCTTTTTTCTTAGAAATTTCCTGAGAGACATCTATTAACAAGAGCTGAGGAGAAGGCAGGGAATTCATTTATTCAGTGGTTGGCCTGTTCTACAGACAGCACTGGCCTCGTGACAGTGAATAGGAGCGGAAGCCTGGGTTGCTGGGATGAAGACACAGGAAAAGCCCTGCACCCCCACAGGTCGCCAGAGGCCTAGGGGACACTCTGGGCTCCAGTGCTGAAGGAGGAGTTCGGGATGGGGAAGAAAGTCAGAGTTTGCCAGGCTGGGTGAACCGCGTGTCTGTAGAGCTGTGGCAGGAGACCCAAGGCTCTCACCGAGGTGTGAGTGCTTTGTGGAGGTTGAAACTTGGCCTGAAGGGACTCCAGGAGGCTGGAACGCCATATCGGCTCATCTGGGCCTTAGCCAGGGCAACGTGGGGCCCCTGTGGGACTTCGTGTGTGCTGTATTTGTAAATCACAACAGTCTGATGTTTTTGTGCTTTGGATTAATAGGTCACGCCCTCCCTCTTGGCCCCAGGAGACAGCTTATCTGGTGGAGTGAGGTAATGGGTGAAGGATGACAGGCTTTAGATGTACATGACGCCGAGGTGCTTAGAGCAAAGTCAGTAGAGAGGTTGCACCGCGTCTTAGGTTGGCTCTTTGTGGTCAGTGTTTTTGCACATCTATAGGAGGAAGTCATTGCCTGTGTTTTCAGGCACTTGTGGGATTCTGGCGGTAGGAATTCCTTTTTAGGACTTGTATATATGCCCTCATTATTAATTATTACTGAAGTAAGGGGGAAATGATATCAGCAGACGTGTGGAGCTTTCATTTGCTCTGAATACACCATTCATTGAGACAAAAGATCATTTCTCAATTCACATCGGAATATTCTAATTTAAGGCTCAATCAGTTGTGTCACAATCTCTGTGGACACAAAGCTTCCCACTGTGTTGTAGTCACATAAGGAACTTGCTCCCCTGGTAGACACAGACCGCAGCTTAGCTGATGCCTTTGCCTTTTCCTTTTCCTCTGAGCTCCTTGCGTTAGGAGAGATGTTAACCAGTGATATTTACTTACGTGCTTTGTAAAATGTAAAATACCCATTCAGATTTCCTGCTTACATTCATTCTTATAAAGTTGGTAAACTCAGAAGTGACTGGGGAGTTCATCTTTCCTAGTGGAATGGGTTAAAGAGGAATGAGTGGCCTTTCTCAGTCCTGGTGCGTCTGCATCCTCTGCGCACAGCTCCCCAGTACAGTTGTCTGCTTTTCTTCTTGATCTTCAGGCATTCTTTATATGTTGTGGCTAAGAGTCCTCCTCCACTGATATGTTTTGCTGACATCTTCTCCAAATTTGGGGCTCACTTTTTCCATTTCTTTACTAGGGTCTTTTGATGAATAGAAATTCTTAATTTTAAAATCTAACGTATCCATCTTTTTCTTTTTGGTTAGTTTTTTTTTTTTGTATATGGTTAAGAAATGTTTACTGTAGTGAATGTAAAAATAAACAAATGGGATTGCATCAAATTGAAAAGTCTCTGCATAGCAAAGGAAGCAAATAACAGAGTAAAGAGACAGCCACAGGCTGGGAGGGAATATTTGCAAGTCACACATCAGACCAGGAGCTCATGTTCAAAATAAACCAGGAACTCAGCTACTCAGTAACCAGCAAAGAGATAATCCACTAAAAACGGGCAAAGGAACTGAGTAGACATTTCTCAAGAGAAGATCCTGGCCAACAGCACATCAGAACAAAACAAAACCCCTCAGTGCCTCCATTCATCAGAGAAATGCAAATTAAAAGCACAAAGAGCTCGTACCCCTTAGATTGGCTAGTACCAAAAAGGTGAACGGTACAGGCATTGGCCAGGATGTGGAGGAAAAGGTGGATCCTTGTTGGAGGCATTGTAAATTAGCACTCTGGCGAGAATTGCCACAGGAACTGAAATTAGTGGGCCAAAGACACAGCTGTTTACACACGTCCATTGAGCATTGTGCATTACAGCTAAGGTGGAAACAACTGAGAGTCACCAGCACACGAATGAATTAAAAAATGTGGTCTGTATACTCAGAGGAATAGTATTCAGCCTTTAAAAGGCATGCAGATCTGTCACTTGTGATAACATCATGGTAAGTGAAGTCATCCAGACTGAAGAATGCGTGACCTCACTTGAAGTGGAAGCTAAGACAACTGAGGTCACTGTAACAGAGAGCCTGGCGAGGGAGGGGGTGGGAGGTGAAAATTAGAACTGGAAGACCTTGGCAGAGTGCAAAGTTCCAGACAGGAGACTATGCAACATGGTGACGCTGCTTAATGACAATGCAGATTTCAGAAGACCTGAATGAGAGGATTTAAAGGTTTTTACCACAAAGAATTGATAAATACTTAAGATGGTAGCTATGTTTTTTAAAAAGAAATCTTTGCCTTGTACACAGTGTTGTATTTACTTTATGTGAATGGCACCATGTTACAGATCACCTCATTTTTTGTGTTTTTAATACTCACCTTATTACTGCCCCCACTTAGCTGTACCCAAATGCCTGCAAACCACTGCTGTCACCTGTGGCCCACTGTGGGCGTGGCATTTTCGCCAAGTCCCTTCTGTGAACTGGCCAGGTTCACCACTTTGGGCCATGGTTTGGTAATTAAGTGCAGGACTTTTTGGCTTAACCTCAGCAATTGGTTCCTGAACGCCAAATGCTCTTAAGTGAAAACTTCAGCCTCCAGCACTTCTTGTTACTTTTAATGGGGAAACACACACCGCATTACAGGTCACCTCCAACCCTGAGGATTTGCTAAGGCAGACTGAAACTTGGACAACTGTGTGTAAATTGTCTGGAGTCTTCCATGTCAGGACACTTGCTGTTGTTCAAGCAGTTGATGGGGGCTGCCCTGAGTGGCTGAGGGCAGTGTGCCTGTCCAGTGTGACTGCCACAGGCGGAG